GCCGCTGCAGCTCGAGCTCTGTTCAGTGCGGGTTGGCATGAGGGTTGGCGCTGTCACTGTCCCCCTGGTGCTAGCCTCAGTGCTCTGCCCTTTCCGGCCTTGCTGTCCAGGCACCCCCCACAGTCAGCAGCCAGGGGTACCCTCAGTTTACCCAGAGGTGGCCCTCTACGCCCTCCTCTAGGTGACAGCCGCCCCGGCTGCCTCAGCCCTTCTGGGGAGCCCTGCATCCAGCTGACTGCTCACTGGGGCTGCCCCCTGGGGCACATCTCACCCCCCACCTGGCAGGACCCTTCCTGTGGGAGGCTTAGCTTTAGCCTAATCAGGGTGGTGCTCTCTGGGGTGCACAGTGGGCCCCGAGGACGATCATATGGCTGCCCCTTGCTGGGACAGACCCCTGTCCACTCACTGCTGCCCTGGGGCTTTGCACTGAGGTCCCTCTTCTGGGAACACTGTTCCCTGGAATTCCGCTCTCTTGTGAGCCTAGCCAGTCTTGTCGTGGAGGACTAGTCTGTAGTACTCACTTCCTAGAAGGGTCCTCGCTGGGCATCGTCCACCCGGCCTCTCTAGCCCCTCGCTCCCTCTCCTTTCTCCTCCTCCCTCTCTCCCCCTCCCTTCTCATCCCTCTCTGATCCCCCATCGGTCCTGCCTGTGCAGTGCAGCTGGGGTTCAGGGTTAGAGGACTTGGGCGCGGCACTGGGGTCTCAGTCACCTGTGTGTGACCGCAGGACTCCCCTGCTTTGGCCAGGCCAGGGCTCCTGTTTGTGAGGGGGCGGCCTGGTTCATGCCGCTGTGACTGCTATGAGAGCAGCAGGGCCTGAAACCTCGGTACGCCGCACAGCTCACAGCCCACGAGGCCCCTGTCCTGTCCAACACTCGATGGCTCTGTACATCCAATACCTGTTCAGTTCCTGCCGTGGTCCAGCTGACTGACCAATCGTGGTGCTGGAGACGGAGCGGGGTGGGGTGGGGGAACTTTGTGCGCTGAACCAGGTTCCCTGCCCTGCCCCTTTTTGGAAATAGGGCCTTGCTAAAGTTTCTGAACTTGAGATCCTCCTGCCTCAGCTTCCTGGAATGGGAGGCACCCGTGATCAATTTTAGGACATTTTCATCACCCCACCCTCCAAAAACAAAATCAAAGCAACCTGTACCTAGCCAAGGGCAGTGGCACACACTGGTGATCCTTGCACTCGGGGACGCTGAGTCAGGAGGATGGCAGGTTGTAGCCCAGCCTGCAGGGAGCGCCTGCCTCCAAAATAAAACAAAAATTTCAGGACGGGCTGGGGGTGTAACCCTGGATTTGGTCCCCAGTGCCACAGAGAGGAAGAGAGGGCTAAGGGAGGGGGAAAGGAAGGAGGGGAGGGGCCAGGAAAGGAGGGAGCAGCTGTGAGCTGTTCAGCCAGTGGAACAAGTGCGGGTGGCATGAGGACGCGGCCCTTCGTGTCTGGCTTTCTCCACTCGAGTGATGGTTTCGAGGTCTGACCCAGGGCGCCCCATCCTTCTTTTGAAAGCAGAGCAGTGTCCTGGGGAGCCATCCTGTCCATTCGCCCTCTGGTTCATTGTTGGGTTGTCATGAACGGTGCACTGTGAAGGCCCACGTGCCAGGCTCTGGGTGACCTGTGTCCCCTGCCGCCGGCTCTGTCCCTCGGGGTGGCACCTTTCCACCCTGCTGCATGTGGGCCCTGACCCTGCGTCCTCCCCAGCCCTGGCTGTTCCTAGCAAGGGTGGCCTTGTCTTTTAAACAGGGGGCCGCATCCAGGTTGGCAGAGGGGGCTGGGCAGAGGGGCCAGGTACGCAGCCCTGGGTGCACACGCGCCCCGTGAAGACCCCGGTGTCACCCTGTGACTGGCCCACCTCTGCCATAGGCAGGGGCCCTGGTCGGGTCCTGAGGACCCAGAGCCCCATGCAGGGCTCCGCAGGGCTGTGGGGTGCAGGGGCCGCTCAGCCTTCTCCTGAAGGCCCAGGGGGCTGCCACCGCGTGCTGACCATGACTACTCCCCAGCGCAGCTGGCGTGGCCACGTGGCTCAGATGTCAGCGGCTCCCCTGGACCCGGTCCCCTCTAGCCTGGAGCTCAGCGTTCCCTTCTGTGCGATGGATCTGCCAGCACAGGCTCTCCTGGGTTGCCATGGAGATGATAAGGGGCAGGGAACGCGCCCAGCCCAGTCCTGCTGGGTGGGGGGTCAGAAGCCCCGGCACAGCCTCTGACCTAGGATCCTGGACACACACTCAAAGGCTGGGGGTTGGGGGATCCCAGCTGTGTCCAGAGCCTGAGGCCTGGAAACACAGACAGGGGACACCACTGTCCCCCGAGTGGGCAGGAGGCAGCCAGGGGCTCCTTTGCCACAGGCTGTCGCCGTGGCTGCACGTGGCTGTTTGGGGCTGCAGGGAGTGGAGGTGGGGGACAGAGGGGTCACGCAGGCCCGAGACCTCTCTCAGTGGCCTGAGGAGCTACTGCCGACTGCCGAGGCTCCAGACTGTCTTCGGTCTGCCGCACGAGATCAGTTCTTGTAAATCTAAGCCAGGCGCGATGGTGCACACCTGTGACTCAGCACTCGGGAGGCTGAGGCAGGAGGAAGGCCTCGAGTTCCAGGCCAGCTTGGGCTGCAGATGGAGACCTTGTCTGCTAAAAGACATCACCTGAGCACCTTAGAAGGAGCACGGTGGGGAGCAGGAGCCCCAGCAGGGCCTGGCTGGAGCCCTGCTGCCCCGTCCACCCCGGCCACGCCATCTGTAAGTCAGGCTCCACTCGGGGCAGCCTGTGCTGGGTGCCAGGCCTCCCGGATGCCACACCCTTGGCCGGCCTCGAGCGCCAGCCCGGTGTCCCCCTTGATTCTCTCCAACCCCCCTGCCCTTCACTCCCCGGCCCCCGGCAGGAGGGGAGGGGCTGGCTTGTTAAATCCAAATAAAACAGGAGTTAGGGGGAGGGGCAGGCGGATGAGTAATAGTGAGTAACTGGGCTGCTCTTCAGCGCAGGATGGGGCGGGGCGGGAGACGTTGATGGTCGCCTCGGGCCTCCCTCGGGCTGCGGGCAGCTCTGCTGACCTCCTTCGTGATTCTGATGGCTGGTTTCCGTCCTGGAGGCTCCCAGGGACCCCAGCCAGTGCCTCAGTCTCTTCCCGGGCTTCCTGGGCTTTGAATCACAGCCTGGGTGCAGGTCCTGCTTCAGTCATGAGTGCCTGTGCCTCAGTCTGCTCATCTGTGAAATGGTATGATGGCCAGCCCCACACCGTCTGCTAGTCACGAAAGTCTGTGACAATACGGGATGGTGTGGGTGGGCAAGAGTGGGCTGCGATGGTCACAGCGGCTCTCTGGAGTCCACGCTCCAGTGAGGCAGGGTTGTGCACACCTGTTGTGCCAGCAGGTGGGAGACTGAGGCAGGAGCATCCCAAATTCAAGCCCAGCCTGGGCAATGTAGCAAGACCCTGTCTCAACATAAATAAAGAGAAAGTTTGTGGTTGTATGTCGGTGCAAAGGTCCTGGGTTCAATTCCAGAACCACTCACAGAATGTAGGAGTTCAGAACTCATTGCTCTTTGGGTGCAGTGACACACGCCTGTAGTCCCAGCGCTCAGGAGGCCGAGGCAGGAGGATCACTGTGAGTTCAAGGCAAGCCTGGGCTACATAGTGAGACCCAGTCTCCGAACAAACAAGCAAAAACCATCGCCAGGGTACCCAGGGTGAGCTCTGTCCCGTCGTGGACAGCAGCCCTGCCAGAAGGGTGACACCTAGACCTCTGTGCCGGCCCTCCCACCACACCCCTTCTGCCATGTCCCGCCGGGAAACTCACCCTGCACCCCACACACACCGGCACCCATACCACGTCCGTCCCACGCACACACACGTCCTGCACCCGCTCCCTGGAGCCCACCCCGCCTGGCTGGCCTGTTCCCGCCTTCACCCTCCCTGCAGGGCCCTTCACTGGACTCCCGAGCTCCGTGGGGACCCGGGCAGAGGGTGGGGGTTCAGCCGCCTCTTCCAGCTCCACAGACCCCTGGGAGTCCTGGGGCGTGGGCTCCGTGTTCTCCCTGTCCCCTCGACTGAGGCCACAGCCAGCTCTTGGCAGCATGGGGACCCAGGGCTCCTCAGTGAGGGATGCTGGCCGCACAGCCCACTGGAGCAGGACAACCAGGAGGGCAGGGACAGCTTTCTGTGGAGCAGGCTGCACAGGGTGGTCAGGGCTGCCGGGGTACAGCACAGGCTGGGCCTGGTCAGGTGGGGACACTGCACCTGTGTCTTACAAGAGATGGGGGGGCACCGGTCACTGCCGGCCCTCGGCCCTCCTCAGCCTTTGGTCTGATCAGAAAGCCTCCTCCCTGGTCCAGCCTGTCCTCCTCTGATGGAAGCCCTCGCCCCAGCTGGAGATGAGCCCCGAGCATGTGGTCAGCCCCCGAAGCAAGGCCAGGCAGGGGCTGGCACTGGGTAGGCGCTGGTGGCACGGATCTGACCTGAGGCCTGACCTTTCCTGATATGTGGGTGCCCATGTCACCCCCCAGCAGCGGGGCCCACAGGGACACCGGTGTCAGGGAGCTCTGGACAGGACCCGTGCCGTGGCCGGGCCCCAGGTGCTGTTAGACGGCGGCTGTGGGCGCCACCGCTGCCACGGAGTCTCTGGCGCCGGACGGGAGCCTGCGCGGTGCTTACACAGCTTCAGGCGGCGGAGGTGGAGATAAGACCGGACCCAGCCCGGGGCTCAGGAGATGAAGAAATCAGAGCTGGGTCCGTCTGCCTGAGGGGCCTCGGGGGGCCGGATGGGCTCACCAGGTGGCAGTGTCCCTATCTGGGTCATATCAGGCAGGGGTGAGGGCGGGGGCTGAACAAGGGGGACTGCTTTCGGGCTGGCGTCTGGGAAGGCTGCCTGGAGGAGGCGGCGTGGGCTCTGTGGGCACAGGGGAGCTGCCGAGGTGCAGGGGGAGGCGGGCGCATTGGAGGGGAGGGGACCCCTGTGCCCAGCGGGAGCCACGCCGGGGCCTCAGCACGCCCGCGTCCTGTGTGTGCCCCCGCAGGGAGCCGCGAGGCCGCCTTCACCTATGCCATCACCGCGGCTGGGGTGGCCCATGCCGTCACGGCCGCCTGCAGCCAAGGCAACCTGAGCAACTGCGGCTGCGACCGGGAGAAGCAGGGCTACTACAACCAGGCGGAGGGCTGGAAGTGGGGCGGCTGCTCGGCTGACGTGCGCTACGGCATCGACTTCTCCCGCCGCTTCGTGGACGCCCGCGAGATCAAGAAGAACGCGCGGCGGCTCATGAACCTGCACAACAACGAGGCCGGCCGCAAGGTAGGGGCCGGGAGGGCCGGGGGCCGGGGGGGGCCTGGGGATGCAGCTGGACACACCGGGGAAGAAGTCGGGCTGCCTGCCGCGCAGATGAGGCCCCAGATACCGGCCGAGGAGCAGCCAGCAGGCGGCGAGATGGCCGAGATAGGACGGCCAGCCGGGCGGAACCGCTCGGGGTCTGGCTCACCCGGGTGGGGCCGGAGGGGCTTCTTGGGCCTGGGACAGACCTGGCTGCCTTTCCCGGCCAAGAGGGACTGAAGGATCCCTGGCCCCAGGGCCACTTGTGCATTCATTCAACAAACGCTCCCATTCCTTCTTTGAGCTGGGCGTCCGGCTGTGGGGGCTGGGCCCACACAGGGGCTTGGGGGTCACACCTGGGAGCAAGGGGGGCCTGGGACCCTGGGGAGGCCCAGCTTCCTGGAGTGGGTGCTTGGCGATCCGGGCCTTGAAGGACACGCAGAGTGGAGACGGGCCGGGGCCAGCATGGTGGATGTTTAAGGCTTGTGGGAGAATGGAGGGGCGGCCGCACAGCCCGGGGCTTGGCCTTGCTGTGCGTAGTGTCCTGCAGCGGTCACTTCACCTCATGGACGCCCGAGTGGGTGGGTAGGCACACAGAGGCATGAGGAAGGAGTGGAGTCTGGCCTCCGGGATCCAGACAGAGGGGCAGGAAGAAATGTGTGCCCGGGCAGAGGCAGGGTTCTGGCGGGCTCCCTGGAGGAGGCCAGCCGTCCGGCTCTGAGGCACCAGGCCTAACACGCACAACTCTGATGGGGAAGCGGTTTAATTCGGCTCAGAGCTTCAGGCAGATCCGTCCGTGGTGAGCTGGCTGGCCACAGTGGCTGCTGCCGGGGCCCAGGGCCCAGTCAGTCCAGCCGGGGAGCCCCAGCACCGGCCCTGTGGACCAGCGTCCACACCCTGTGGTGTCCACTCAGAGTGGCTGGGCCTCTGGGCATTGCCTTGACCCCGCTACCCTGCCCTGGACACCCCCACCCTGGCCACGCTGTGCTGGGCTCTGATGAATGCCAGGCTCTCATCTGGTCCCCGGAGATGAGGCAGGCATGATGCCCGCTGGCTGCTTGGCCCTTGTGCGGCCCCCAGCCCAGGGCTGCAGGCAGGGACAGGCCACAGTGGCTTCTTCCCACCACAGTGACCCAGGGGTGGTAGGAGCAGGTCCACACCTCGGGCCTCGGCCGGCCCAGGGGCACTGGCTGCCTCTCACTGGTGACCCGGGTGGGACGCTCTTGCCCCTGGTGCCATGAAAACCCACTGTCGAGGTAAGGCAGCTCCTCAGAGCCGGCCGCTGTCTCCTGGCCTGAGGGCCCATGCGGTCACTGTCTCTCGGTCAGTGTGGTGGCCCGAGGTCAGGGAGCAATGCCAGTGTGGGTAGCAATCAGCTCACCCCTTGGGCAGGGAGCTCAGGACCACAAGCCTCCCCGGGAGCCTCAGGCCGTTCCCAGGCTGTGGCCAGCTGGGCACCGGACGGCGGGCTGCTGCCGCAGGACTTCCATCGCCAGCCCGGTTGCAGCTGAGCCCTGTTCCTGTCGCGGCCATCATTCTGGGGCCAGCGTGGCCCCGACTCTGCAGCCGGAATCCCGACCTCGGTCAGGGACAGGGCCCCGTGTCGGCTCCTGTGGTCTCTGGGGTGCAGGGGCCGTCTCAGTGCCCTGAGGAGCCGGCTGGCCCTGGCGCCACCGTCGCCGTGATGGCGCGGGTGCCACAGGAGGAAGCACCGCATTCTTGAGCCCTGTGATCACTTCCCGCCAGGCCCAGCCAACCCAGCCAAGCGAGGCTTTGGTCCTGCTCTGCAGACTCCTGCCTGGTCGGCTTCGTCCGCCGCTGTCACCGGCCGGCTGTGTGGGCCTGACCGTCCCCGGGCCGGCATGAGCCACTGGGCCTTGGCGGGAGCCAGGAGATGGGGCAGGGTGCGCGGAGGACCGAGGGTGTTGAAGCCAGCAGAGAGCAAGGCTGGAGGCCTGGGGGGGACAGCAGGTGGCTGTCGGAGGCTGACCGCTGGCCTTGACGTCCCTCTTGGTCCTGGCAACCGGCAAGGGTCCTAAGAGGCACCCTTGGCTGGCCGAGTGGCCTAGCCAGACAGGAAGTTCCCAGGATGGCAGGAGCAACTTGCGCTGAGGTGTGGGGCAAGGGGCCGGAGAAGACAGACAGGGCGGGCAGCAGGAGTCCAGGTCCACTGTCGCCAGACACCCGTTGGCTCCGGTCCACAGCCTGGGTCCTGCCCCACCCAGCCATCCCCAGGGCTCTTCTGGGCCACAGCCCTGCCTCACCCGGCCCACCCGGCTCTGGAACCCCAGGCTCTGCGGCTGACCACTCCCAACCTGTGCCTGTGTCCACCCCTTCTGGAACTTTCTTCATGGTCCAGCGGGCTCCTACTCACCCATCCTCACCCACTGTAGGCATCGCCTCCTCCAGGAAGCCCCCACCAGGCACTGTCACCATGGCTGTGTTTCCCACATGGGCCGTGAGCTCAGGGCTTCCTCTCACGTGGCCAGGTCAGGGTGGCCTTAGGGCAGTGGTGTCTCTGTGGGTCGCTTCTCTCCCTCTTGTCCCCCCATCCATCCACTGGCTGGAGGTCTCCACATCTGGGGCAGAGTCGGGAACAGACTGCAGCTGGCCCTGATGGTGGGTTCTGGCCTCAGGGTTGGGGGGGCCAAGCCCCCACAGCCGGGGCTCAGGGAGCCCCGACAGCTGACAAATAGCCCCTAGGCAGTGCTGAGGCAGCAGCTAATGATTCCCCATCTTCAATCAGGCTCGGCTGGCAGGGCCCTTTCGATCCGAGTAAATGAGTACCCGGGGTCAGGGCTGGCTCTGGGAATCGGCCTTCCGGGGCCGCCCGGGAGGCCCAAGGAAAACACAGGCTGCACCCACCCTGGGCCCTCGTGGAGCTGGACAGAAAGAATAACAAGGACGGGCCAGGCCTCCAGGGCCTCTACACACACACACACACACACACACACACACATGTGCACACGCACATGCACACACATGCATGCACACACGCACGCACGCCACCCCGGGCTGGCCCTGCAGGCCACCACCGTCCACCGTGGAGAGTGTGTTGAGCTGTGACTGCATGTGTGGCGGGCGGGGTGGAGACAGAAGGGAGGGAGGGGCACCCACATTTACCAAGCACCTCACCGTGCTGGTGCCCCTGGGTGGGGTCCCCCCTGCTGCCCCAGGCCTGCAGTGAGCTTAGCGCCCCGAGGCCTCAGTTTCCTTGTCAGGGTGCTGACATCACACAGAGCTCTGTGCATAGCTGTGAACATGGTTTCAATTTTCTTTTAAGTGTATTACAGTAAAAAAACACATTGCCATGAATCGCCTAAAAACAGGCGCCTTCTCGCGAGCACGCTTGTCCTGCCGTCCCGGCCGCCGTCTGCAGCCGCTCTGGAAGTGCTCTTTTCTGAGTGTCTTTGGTTGTACTGTTGTGGCCGCCCGGGGTCCTGAGTCCGTTCCAAACCTCCTCCTGTCAGGGTCCTTGTGCTTCGGAGACGAGCCGGCAGCCACACGGTGTCAGAGCCGTGTCAGATGACAGATGGCCAAGGTCAGGCTTCTGCACCTGCCATGAGCCTGCCAATTAAAAACTGCAGTTTTTAATTATGTCCGGTGAAGACACACAGGAGAGACCACGTCCAGCGCTGCTTCAGAAAGTGGCGAGGCCGTGGGGTCAGCGTATCTGCTTTTCACGGGGATTAGTAGCTACCAGTCTTTACTGTGATAAATTATCTGAAATGTAACCTGTCACCGGCTGTCCTGACCACACTGGGCGCAGCTGCTAAACACAGCCTCGTCCCACGCGGGCCGGACGGGCCGCTCCTCGGCTGGCCAGGGCTGCCCCGCCGAGCCCTGAGTGGAGCCGTGTCGCCCGCAGGTGCTGGAGGACCGCATGAAGCTGGAGTGCAAGTGCCACGGCGTGTCGGGCTCCTGCACCACCAAGACGTGCTGGACGACGCTGCCCAAGTTCCGCGAGGTGGGCCACCTGCTGAAGGAGAAGTACAACGCGGCCGTGCAGGTGGAGGTGGTGCGGGCCAGCCGGCTGCGGCAGCCCACCTTCCTGCGCGTCAAGCAGCTGCACAGCTACCAGAAGCCCATGGAGACGGACCTGGTGTACATCGAGAAGTCGCCCAACTACTGCGAGGAGGACGCGGCCACGGGCAGCGTGGGCACGCAGGGCCGGCTGTGCAACCGCACCTCGCCGGGCGCCGACGGCTGCGACACCATGTGCTGCGGCCGCGGCTACAACACACACCAGTACACGAAGGTCTGGCAGTGCAACTGCAAGTTCCACTGGTGCTGCTACGTGCGGTGCAGCACCTGCAGCGAGCGCACCGAGGTCTTCACCTGCAAGTGAGGGCAGCGCGGGCCCGGGCCTGCCGCAGAGGGACGGCTGGCCGCAGAGGGACGGCTGACCCTCGTGTCCCTCCCGCCTGCCCGCCAGCCCGTCATGCCCGAGACGGACTCCGGGCCCGGGGCAGTGCGGACGCAGGCTGATGCGGTTATTTATGTTTCCTTAGCTCCGGAAGAGGATTCTCGGCACTAACAAACGCGTAGCCAGTCCTAACTCTGCACTCCGTGCCCCCCGGACCCCCGATGCCCCCCTGCGGGTCCCAGGTGCCAGGAGTTACCAGGAGAGGGCCTCAGAGGACAGCCTGGCTTCCCTTCCTTTTGGAAATAGTATCGTGAAGATCAAAATGTCACTTGTGCCGGTTCCAGGAGCACCTGGTCCCATCTATAGTCCTCCACGTTCCCAGCCAGCCACTGGCCTGGCGCCTGCAGTTTACAAAGTCCCTCCCACCCAGGAGCCAGCTGACCCCTGGGATGCCAGGGCCGAGCTGGGGTGTGGCCAGAAGTGCTGGACCCACTTGACTGATGGGCACACTGAGGCCAGAGGGCCTGAGCAGGGGCTCGCCTGACACTGACAGCTATGAGAGGGCGCTCCTGCCTTAGTCCTGGCCAGCCTGCCCCCAGGATGCCCGGCAGCCCCCCACCCAGGAGACCTAGCTGCTACCTTCCAGCCACAACTTCGGGGGGTGCACACCTCTCGGTGTCTTTGAGGTTCCCAGAGCCCCATCTTGTTCGACCCCAGTGCCAGAAAAACTGGCAGGCATAGGGGACAGGGTCCACCTTCTCTCCAGATGTCTCCCCAGGTTGCGCAGGCCATCCTCCCACCCCCGTCACTTCCCCCAGAACCTTGGAGATGGGGATGGAATGGGAAGCCTGGGCCAGGGCTGGGCGTGTCCTCTCAGGGCTCCCTTTCTGTCCCCAGAAGACAGGCTTTGAGGTGGGACCTGCCTGGGCCAGCGAATGGCTTGAAGCCACTCTGCGCCCTGGTGCACCCGCGCTCTGAACATTGGCCGGGGGCAAGTGACCCGGGCTGGGAGCTGGGCCCGGGTGGAGCCCAGGTCTAAAAGCACCAGGACAGCTGTGAATGCCCCCAGCCCCTGCCTCACCCCAGTCCCTGGACACCCTGAGTCCCCAGGCCGGCGTCCTCTGCCGAGGAGCCCGGGTAACTTATACTGTTGTATAGCGTCCAGATGTCTATATAGTGTCTTTAAGTTATTGTGACCTACACTGGGTACCGGAGGGGAGGCCCCAGCCAGGCTCCTCCTTCTGCTTGAAATGGACCCTCAGGGCCAACGCCACCGAGGCCTCGCACTGGCTCTGGGCCACCAAATGCCCAGCCGAGCCCACTGTCCCTCAAGGGCCCCCCCGGGGGTGGGGGGCAGCACGGTCCAGGCAGGCACTGGTCGCCCATGCTTTCTGCAGGGCCGGAGGTGGCTGGGCACGGGGCACCCTGACGGCTGAGCTGCTGGCCTCCCCGGAGGGGAGCGCGTGGTCCCAATAAAAGCTGAAAGTGACCAGTGAGTGTGGTGTGACCTGTCCTCCCTGACGCCCTCACTGGCCCCGCTCACTGCCCTCCGTGGACTGAGGGCTCCTTGCTCCCAGCCTGGCCCCAAGACGTCTGCTGGGGAGCCAGCTGGGCCCCCATCAGGCCTACTGGCCTCTGGGCAGCCTGAGGCCACCTGGACATTGTGGGGCTCCGGCTGCAGACGCGGGAGGCCCAAGAGTGGGCCAGAACTGGTCTGTGCTTCTGCTTCCCACCCACCCCAGCTGCAGTCTGGGCCTGGGGGCCTGGGCCTGCTGGCTCTGAGGCTGGACTTGAGGCTGCCCAGCCCTGCCACTTCTCCCCGAGGCCCAGCCCGTAACCGGCAACCGTGCAAGGCTGCGTGAATAGCATTCCTGCCCAGGGCCGGAAGGCATGCGGTGGGGCCGGTTTGGCCACTGCCCGCTGTCCCCGGCAGCCTGGCATCGGGCGGAACCGCTGATCAAACAGCCCCGTCCCCACAGTGTCCAGCTGGGCACCCACAGAACCTGGCCCCAGCTCCAGGACCCAGGAGAGGGACCTCCAGGTGGGCCACACCCTTCCCCCAGGGACAGACAGGACTCCAGCCGCAGCCCAGCCCCCTCCCGGCCCTCCCTGCTGTGTGGCGTAGGTCTGCCCATCTGGGAGCAGCAGGTGGCCCACGGCCAGGACTCGGTGGTCGGTGGGGCCCTGGTGCTGGCGTGCGTGGGGCCCCGGCCGGGGCCGGGCAGTTGGCAGCAGGCCCTGGTTCCCCATGAGACAGCGAGCAAATCCCCAGGGGCGGCGGCGGCGGCGGCAGCGGAACGCCGGGGTCCGGCTACTCCCACAGTGGCAGGAATGAGGAAGGAGCCCTGAGATGCCCAGCCCGGGGCGCAGACGGCCCTTCCAGCCTGGCCGTAGTTCAAGCCCGGCCTGGCCTCCCAGGGCTGCCCGCACATCCTCCAGGGGCCCTCACCCCCGGCCCGGCCTGAGGTCCAGCCAACTCCGGCCCCGGGTCCTGCCAGGGCCACCCTGGCATCCAGGGGCTCCTCTGCCCGCAGTGCGATGCCCCAGCTAGCCAGCCTCGCTCTTTGCCCCTCTGTGCTGTGCTCCCTGTCCAGGGAGCCGTCTGCTGCCCTCGGGTACAGTGCACAACCTCGAGACACAGCAGCTGGGGACCCTACAGCCGGGATGCCCCGAGCAGGAGGGACAGTGACCACCCACCTGGCCTTTCACACAGGCAGCCCTGGCCAGCAGGACACCTGGCTGTGTCCTCCCTGGAGACACCATCCTCAGCTAGGGGCCCTGTTTCTGTGACTGCTGTCTCTCCCCAGGCTGAGGGTCCCCAGAAGCCAGCTGCTCCCCCATGCCAGGCTCAGCTGGCCCATAGCTGCACACAGGCTGGTTAATGGCCCTTCCCCAAGTTGGTCAGTCAGCACTGGTTCCCTGAAACAGATGGAGAAACTGAGGCCCAGAGGAGACGAGCTGCCCATGGTCACACAAATGGTAGAGGCTGAGCCAGTATTTGAACTCAGACCTCCAGGGTCCTCCTCCTCGGCTCCTGTGCCTTGGTGGGGACACTGAGGCCCAGGAACCTTGTCCAAGGCCACATAGAGACAGTGGGAAGGGCAAGGCTTAGGTGGGGTCTGGAGAAGAGGTGGCAGGTGACACTGTCTCCACAAATGACAGAACAAGAAGAGCCTGCGGAGAGGCAGCAGGTGAGAGGAGCGGGCTGGGTGAACTGGATGGGGTGAGGAGGGAGGAGCCGCTGGGGAAGGGGGGCGGGGTCTGGCAGGGGACAGAAGGGAGCCGCTCGGATGACCAGCGCTGGCCTCACCTGAGCATGGTCCGAGCCTTCTCCTCCTCCGAGGGATGGCTGTGGCCGCAGGCTACGGCCCCCTCAGGCTTCTCTGGCATCGAGCCGGCCTAGGGCCTTGGACTTGAAGGACCCAAAGAGAATGAGCCGTTAGCCCAGGCACTCTGGGCCAGAACCAGTGCCCTGTGGGTTCAGTGAGTGTCAGCTGGGTGCCCAGGAGGGGCAGGGCCAAAGGCCTGGAGTCTGCAGGAGGCTTGGGCAGCAGCACTGCCCCCAGCCCGGGCTGGCCACCTGTCTCCTGGCTCCTCCCTGAGCGCACAGCCTCTCTTGCCTGGGCGGGGTCCCTACTTTCCGCGGGCGGGGTCCCTGCTTCCTACCAGAGCTGGAGTTCTGTGGCCCCCGAGGAGCCTGCAGTCTTGTGAGGAGGCGGCAGGCAGGCGGAGAGGATGCATGCCGGGGTCCAGAGTCCTCAGTGCCTGCCAAGCTCCAGACCCAGGGGGCCTTCCTGGGCCTGCACACCTACGTCCAAGAGTAGCCTCAGGGCTGAGTTTGAGCCAGGTCTCAGCCCCGTGAGCCCCCGGCCAGGATGGGGGATGGGAGGACAGCGGGACAGGCCTGGGGAGGGCTCAGAGCCTGGCTGGGCCGGACAGGCACTCAGCATGGCTTCCTGGAGAGCCGAGGACAGGAACGAGCGGGAGGGGCCGGAGCACTGTGAGGGACCGTGGATGTGGAGTTTGGGGTGCTGGGCACCAGAGAACAGGGCTCGGGGAGCTCCCTGCAGCTGACTAGATTCTGGAAGGATCTGGAAGGGACTCGCGCGCCTGTCTGTGAACTGTGCTTGCCCCAGAGGACACCGTCAGCTGGGAGCCTCCACGCTGCTCCTGGAGCCTTCGAGGGGCCGGGCCTCCGAGCAGCTGAGGGCAGCGTGCAGTGACTGTCGGACTAAAGGAACTTTCCAGTTAGGCGTGGCGGCGCAGGCCTGTAACCCCACCACACAGGAGGCTGAGGCAGGAGGACAGCAAGTTTGAGGCCAGTCTGGGCAACTTTGTGAGACCCTGTCTGAAAATTAAAAATTTAAAGAAGGGCTGGGGGTGAGGTCTCTTGGTCCAACCCCCTGTAACCCTCCCCCACGCACACCTTAGCACACCTTAATGGCCCAAGCCTGGTGGGCACTGAGCGAGTTGCCCTCTGCCTGCCCACTAGAGCCTACAAGGCCACCGCAAACTCCTCACCCACCTCGGGGTGGGGCGGCTGCTGAGTCAGGATGCCCCACTGAGTCCCGACAACACCCTGACACGGAAGGCCAGGGAATCGCCCACTTCCCCAAGGTTCCAGGGCCAGAGGATTGATTACATGTGCCAGCAAACACTCCAGGAGGGGGCAGAGGCAGGGACCTCGGAGTCACCCGAGTCTCTGGGAGCCCGGGCAGGCCTGCTCAGGGCAAGGCCTCATCTATTCCAAGGCCCCTTCTGGTGACAGGGCTGTGACACACCTGGGGAACGCCAGGCAACAGGACCCGGCTGCCACATTGAAAGGCTGAAGGAGGGAGGTGCCTGTCGCTGGAGGAATTCAAGCCCAGTTCAATCTCCACTGAGGGGAGTTTCGAGGCTGCGCTTGTGACGCAGGGCCTCAGGAGCCTGAGTCTGTGGTGGGAAGGGGTCTGCGTTGCGGGCTTCCACTGGGGGTTCTGGGAGCTCTGTCTTGCCCGGGCCAGTCCTTGGATGCCTGCCCTGGGGTCCCCTTAGGGAACCAGGAGCTCTGTGCTTGCATAACATAAATCTCATCACCCTCCTCCTGGGTATCCCAAGGCCCTGCCCATGGGGGTGCCCCACAGAGACAGGAGATAACAACACAGCACAGATGGGTGCTGTGCATCCGCAGGGTGCATCCCGCAGGGCAGGGCTGAGGTGGGGTGGAGGAGCAGCTGGGCAGAGAAACAGGACTGGGAGCTAGGGTAGCAGAGGGCGGACCCAGCTGGGCACAGGAACAGAGGACCGGTGCTGCCTCAGCGAGGAGCTGCAGGTAGCCACGCATATCTGGGGAGTGGGGCCACTAGGGGCGTTCGGCCCTCCTTCCAGACTCAGGACTGCAGGGCAGGCACTGGTGCCAGCCTTTCGGCACAAAGGCCTGGGGCAGGGCCGGGTCTGCTGGCCCATGGGCACCTGATGACTTCGAGGAGACAGCAGGCAGAAGGGTGGTGTCCCCAGGCTAAGCCTGGCCCAGGATGACCCCTATGCCATCCTTCGAGTCTCTTCCTGGAGTTCCAGGCTTGAGGACAAGAGCAGCAGGGCCTGCCTCAGTGTCCCCCCATGAGCTGGGAGGACTCTGCCTTGGAGCTGCATGGCGGATCCCGGGAGACAGTGCTGACGGGTGCTCACCGATGTTGGCCCCTCCTTCTCAGCAGTGAGGCCTGCGGAGGACCCACTGGGGACCCCAGCAGAAGGGGCCACCAAACAGGAGCCCCAGGAGCCCCCGCCACCCACCAAGGCCAGAGTTTCTGCATGTGTGTCTACCGTGCTTTACAGCTTACAAATTGCCCTCCCGACCCTCAACCAGCTCACCCCTAAGCAGTGTCCCCATTCACCGCCCGTCCTGAGAGCCTGGAATCCCCCAGGACTGGTTCGTGCCCTGACACTCACAGACCCCAAGGACACCAGGCCATGGCCCACTGCAGCCTGCCAAGCCACTGCATTCAGAGAACGCTGGGGAGGGTTCGGGGCCTGGGCCACCTCTCATCTGGCCAGCAGGTCACTGTGGTTGTGACCATGGAGGACACCCCTAGGCAGCCAGGCATTGCCCTGGACCTCCGCTCAGGCTCCCTTCCTGGCCTTGGGCTCCGTCCCTCCAGGTCCTGCAAGGAGACCCCTCAGCTGCTCACCCCTAGGCTCCCTGTGTGGCTCAGGGGGACCCTTTCCTGCCCTCCCCTCCCTTCCCCCTCTTTTCTTTCTCTCCCCTCTCCCCTCTTCCTCCCTTCCCTTCCCCTGCCACCTCTGTTTCATCTGAAGTTGGCACCTCACCCGGAGGCGGCACAGGCTTTGCACATCCTGCAGACGGTGGGGAGGGATCCCTGGGGACACCGACATGCGTGTATTTTTAGTCTCTAGAAGAAAGCTGAACCCCAACACACCAGCACGCAGCCCAAATGTTTGTTTCATTCCTAAGAGGCTGGGTGGTGGGCGGCAGGTCAGGGGCCCAAAGCAACACCTGGAGGCACGAGGTTGCCAAGGAAGCCTCTCCTGTCCTGGGGCCCACCTGCCTGCGTGGCCTCCCTTGGGGAACCCAGGACCTGCCTGGCACTGCCCTCCTGGGCCAAGCCGCTCCTGCCCCCGTCCCTCCCCTCGCCCTGCAGTTGCAGGCTGGCAGCCAGGTCCTCTGCTGCTGTCCTTGCCCTCCTGGGGCATCTCGGGCAGACGTCCTGCTCGGGGATCAGCCTTGGCTCTGAAGCTGCACCCCAGACTCCAACGAATCACAGCCAGGAAGCTTGGCCAAACCAGAGGGGGACAGCAGCGTGGCCTTCCGTGCGGCCCCTGGGGCGCGGGATCCTGGCTGCCGGAGCAATACCCTCTGTGGTAGCTGAGCTCGCTCTCGGTCTGGGCACCGGAAACCTGGGGTCTGCAGGTGCTGGGGGACACTTCTGCTGCTGCCTGTAGTGTCTGTCCTTGGCGCATGGCTGCCGCACTGCAGGACTCAAGGCCAGCGCCTTCCAATCCAGCTCTGTCCCTTTCAAGGGTCCACGTGATTGGTTTAGGGGCACAGAGGCCCATTATGTGGCCACCCCTCGATCCTGTCTCTACGTGAGGTGACATCTCCAGGTCCCAGGGACCGGGCTGTGTGTCTCCAGATACCTGGGCCTCGGCCTCTGATGGATAGCAGCACAGTGTGACCTCAGCCCTGACAGCTGCTTCTGGGCAGAGAGCAGAAGGTCCCCTGAAGAGGACCGGGGCCTGCTGCCTCCAGAGTCTGGGCTTGGGAGGGGATAGCGGGGTTCACATGCACTGTGGCCTGGTGAGCTGACGGCTGGTGGGCTACTGGGGCACAGGGCCCTCTGGAGTGGAGTGGCCCAGGTGGGCACTGGACTTCAGCAGCAAAGTCTTGGCCCTGAGCCTGCTCAGGGTCAGTGTGGTCATGGGCATGTGTGCAGGGTGGACATCCAGCAAACAGTGGATCACCGGTCACGGGGCCCTTCTGAGCCCCCTCCTGCCCAGGGTCCCCTGGTGAGGAGAAGACTGGGATGCAGTCCCTGAGATGTATCTGTCCTCTAGCTCCAACCTCCGTCCCACATCCCACATCCCGTGGGGCCCCCGGGAGCACGTGTGTCATCGGCTGGAGCCACCGCCTGGCCAGGGGCCTTGCACCCTCTCTCGCTGCTGTCCTAGGTCCTCAGTGTGCACTAAACTTGCCCTTTCCTGGCTTGGGAACCTCCGTCCCTCCCATGGGACCGTCCTGCAGAGCCGCTGCCCTCTGGGGCCCAGGCCTCCCCTGACGACCCCGCTGTGAGAGCACCTAAAGCCAGGCTGAAGAAGCCTCCATTCCCATGTCCCTTCCATGCTGGGTGTCA